TATATATATATATATATATATATATGTAAATTCCCTATTTATAAATGTAAAACATGCTAAAAAAACACCTCATTCAAATCTTAAAAACAAACTCCTAAAATATAGCATGATTACCACAACAATTTTAAGAGAAAAAAAAATCCTTCCATGAAGAAGCAAAAGAAAAAACCAAGCGAAGGCTTATTATCAGCAAATCAAACCACCGCTAACAACTGTACAATCAAAGAAAATCCTGAATAGCATTATGCAGATTATATAAGTCGGAACTTAACATACATAGATTATAAAGAACAAATTGCCGCTTCCAACTAAACCCTAACAAGTCTCCAAAATCCCATCCGCCATTTTTAAAAGCTTCAGTAGAACCAGTTTCAACAGAGTTTTTCTCCTTCAGTTCAGCTTCTTCTGAATCTTCTCCTCAGCAATCTGCTTCTGTGGCTCTACAGGGAAGTATTTGATGCCCACAAGATCGCCCACTTTGCTGATGACCTGAGATAATGATATGAGAATTATAATTTGGGTTTAGAATAAGGGGGTTTGCGTAAAATGTAAAATGAAGGTGAAGAGGGGCTTACATCCAAGGCTTTGATCATATCTTCTCGGCTGTGCGAGGCAGATATGCAAATTCGAGCTCTTGCGAGAAGAAGGGGAGTTGCAGGGAATGCCACAGTGACAACAGCAAGCTGTTTTTTTGTTCCATGAAAATTTTAAATTCAGTATCAACTCCAATAGTAACATCTAAGGTTTAATTTTTACAATTAAAGTTGGCTGAATCTTTCATATCACATCAAATACCTGAATTTAAATTTTTTACATTTAATTTTCATAAAAAATACCTCTTTATTAACTTTTAGAAGTCAATAAGCCTTTTTTCATACATAGGTTTGCAAAACCAAAGTGCTATAAATGCAATTATGTAAATATCAAACTTAAGTGTTAGATATGTAAATACATAAGAATTGTGTGGTATTTATGTAAATTTCCCAAAAATATAACAAAGAAAACAGCCTGAGAAGATGAAATAATTGAAAAGAACAGCAAGCAGCCCGAAATATCATCACTTACTTTGCGCCTAAGACACTCCCTGGAGAAAGCTGGGATTTTTGCCGGGTTATAAAGCATTATGGGCATAACTGGGGAGTCATCATCCCCAAGAACTTCAAAACCCATCTTGAGAAGCTCCGATCGGAAAAATTGCTATTGTCGCGAATTTGTGCGAGTTTCTGAGCCCCTATAATAGTCATTCAGATCACACATAAGATAGCTTAAAGCTAACACATAAAAGAAACGAAAATTTATACATATATATACCACTCAATTCCTATGCATTTACATATCAAATACCTAAACTTCAATTTTTACATACCACCTTACCTTGCATGAAAAGTTGTATTTCACTTTGAGTTAAAATGGTGGTATTTTTTATGATATGAAAAAATGAGGTGGTATAAATGTAAAATTCAAAGTTTAAGTGTTAGATAGGTAAATACATAAGAATTGGGAAGTATGTAAAAGAAAATGCATTTAAAGGCTCTTTGAAGTACCTCGATTGGAACCATCTTCTCCAAGAACCACTTTAATGGCAGATATAACTTGCTGTGCTGCAGGCGGAGACATTGATGTTGCATAAAAATGAGCTGGGCAAGTGTTCTTCAGATGTTGGATGATTTCCTGGCCAGATAAAATAAAAAACACAGTGTTAAAACCATGAGATTCTGTGCAATGTGGTGCATTAACATACACAGCACACAATTCTTATGTATTTACATATCTCACACCTAAACTTTCATAATTACACACATAGCACTCAAGTCTTTAATATCACATCAAAACTAGCACTATTACCACTGTTTTTAAAAAGTGAAATACACATTTTCATGCATAGGTTTAAAGCATCAAAGTGCCATGTATGTAAATATGAACATGTATGTAAATGTATGTAAATATGAAAGTTTAGGTGTGAGATGTATAAATACATAAGATTTGTATGCTAGTATGTAGATTTCACTAGGAAACTATATCTAACTTGAAAGAAATAATTATACCTTTGTTGCTGCAATATAGCCACCACAAGATCCAAATGATTTTGTGAAAGTTCCCATCATGATATCTATATCAGCCGTGTCTACTCCAAGAAGTTCACAAACTCCCCTTCCAGATTTCCCAATTGCACCTATACTGTGGGCCTCATCCAAGTATGTGTATGCCTAGGAGAAACAGAGTCGTTATAAGTTTTCAAAATCCTATGACCCTATAAACAATTTACAATATGGTATTAACTTAAAGCTTTTATTAAAAACTACTGGAAAATGCAAAATTTATATTAGAATGAATAAAATAACCAGAAGATAAAAACACACAAAATAATTTATATAGGTCCGCCTAATTGATGGTCAGCTTGTTGCCGCTGTTTTTATTTTTACGAAGGAATTTGCATCCAAGTCTCCCAGATCTATCATCCATGATGTTAGGACAACTGAAAAGCTTGGTGAAATCCCAAAAATAATCTTAATAAAACAACCACAAAGGTCAATCCATGATAGAGTCTGCTTAAGGCGTTTCTTTGCAGAACAAAAATTAGGCTCCACAACTTAATAGCGTAAATATATGCCACATTTCACAAATGCAGATAGAGGTGTAACTGAACTAAACCGACTCACGAGCTAGCTCGGGCTAGGCTCGATAAGCGGTTCGTGAGCTGAGCTTCATGAGCTTACAAGCTAAACCTCAATCCATCCCCAACTCGACTCGTCAGGTTGTGAGCCAGCTCCTCTAAAAAAATATTTAATAAAAAAGATACTCAAAATATATTCAAATTCAAAACTTTATCTTTAAATTATTTAAAATATTTAAAAAATGATATTATACATTTTATATAAAGTGATTTATTTCATTAATCTCAAAATTGCTCATTTTGTTATACCGCTAATTTGATTTAATATTATTTTCTCACTTTATGATGCCGGCTCGAACTTTTATAATTAAGTTCGCATTGGAGCTTGAACTCGATTAATTAATCAAGCTCAAGCTTGAGCCGATGGTAGCTTAAGCTCAAATTTACCCATTTACACTCCCAAAAGCAGACAGATGAGAAAGGCACTGGAAAGGAAGATGAGCACATTTCAATCCATTCTAACCTTGTATTTCTTGCAGACAGCTATAATTTCAGGGAGTTTGCAGAGTTCCCCTTCCATGCTATAGATTCCCTCAACAATGACAATTATCTTTTTCCAGGGTCTATGTGTTCGAGGCTGCCCGTCAGCAATTTGTTCCCTGAGCACCTCTTCCAAGTGAGCCGCACCTTCGAGTAAGAGAAGAAAGAGTCCCAACTCAGGCTCGCATAACCCACATAAAATTAGATCGAACACTCAATATAACGATCATAAAACTTACTATTGTGTTGGAAAACCCGCACCGTCGCACCGGATCCACGAGCACCATTAACAATCGAGTTATGGTTCAATGAATCGCTGATTATCAACCCACCCTACATACATGAATCAAAGTCAAATTTATCAGCAGAGCTCTCACATAATTACTTACACTGAATTGAAATCTTATCTACTAGGGGCATTTACATACATACAACAAAATTATTATGTATTTACGTATCTTGCACCTAAACATTTATAATGAAATGAAAAACTTTCAACTTTAACATCACATAAAAAATACGATAATCACGATCCTTTTAAAAGTGAAATACAGTTTTTCATGTACTGATTTATGACACCAAGCTATTACAAGTGTAAATATCAAATTTTGGATGATAGATATGTAAATACATAATAATTGTGTGGTATTTATGTAAATTTCCCATTTTCTAACTGGAGAAACTACTTAAGAGCAGGGTGCTAACCTTCCCAATTAGAGCGGGGATAATAGCAGAATTCGTTGCATATCCCATTCCAAAAAGAATAGCAGCCGGCTTTCGAACAAATCTTGCGACTAATTCTTCTAACTCAGCATGCAATTTTGTCGTTCCTAAAACAAGAAAATTGGACGAAAGGTTAACCCTATGATCACAAAATTATCGTTCACCAAAACAAGAGGAAGAACGCTTTATGTACCTCCATCAACACGAGCACTGCAAGTACTTGCCGAGAATTGCTTCAGAGACTCGATAACACGAGGTGTGCAATACTCGTCAGCAGCGGCAAAGCCAAGATAATTATATGATCCTAGGTTGAGGCATTTACTGGTCTTTGAGGTCCGGCTGCATTCAAGAAAAAAGAAAAAAAAATCAGCAAAACCCTGAGTGACGAAATATAACATTTTTTACTTGAAAATTTGACTTAATTAAATGTGGAACAACTATAATCTTGTGCTTAAATTATACTTTTATTATAAGTGATGAGAATTATAATAAATACTAGAGGAAGAAAAAAAGATCAAAACTCACTGAAGTGTCTTGTTACTGTCCTTTGAGTAACGCTCAACCACATCAATCCATGAATCTGGTGCACTTGCAATTGGTCGATTAAAGCAGTCCTGTTGATCAATGAACAAATTCATGCCAATCATTAAATTTGAATAAAGTTAGAAATATTACAAAATTTTAATCAAACAATGACACCTACATCAATTTTACATTGTTTTATAAGCATAGTTCCAATGTTCCATGAAGGTTGAATACATGAAAGTTAATCTACCCACTATTTCAAGGAAATGTTTGGTTGCAAGATTTATCCGGGACTTAAAAATATCTTGGCAAACAATTTTTTGAGATGCATAAATCTTACTATTCTAAAATTATATTTCTTCCCGTTTTTGAGAAAAATTTGAAAATATCCATCAATTGTTTACTAGGGTTTAACTATATTTAACATCCAACCAGTCAAATAGCTTCAGGATTTAAAGATTCCCTGATTTGCTAAATCTGAATTTGCACGGATCATTGCATCCTACTAGAATTAAATTCTACTAGTTGCCAAACAGAATCCTAAGTTGTTTCCTCTTATTTACCAAACATATTATAGAAAGCATGAGAATCTTGGAATCAATGAATCAAACAATCAATAATAGCTATTTTCCATTTCCAAATCTAATATTCAGTGATCTTTTCCATTTAAATCATCGAGAAAATGACCTTAACAAAACTGCAGGCAATAGCAAAAGCAAAAGGCATCGAATCGCATAAAAAGCCATATAGGTGTTCTTCTCAACGACAGTAATCATTATGACAGCAAACCCCAAAAAGTTATAACGAACAGAACAGCAAAAAACCTAAACACAAAAGAAAATTAGCTAACAAAACAAATAAATAAACGAACCTGAATACGAAGATAGAGACGCCGAGTGTAGAAATCCTCCAGCCCCAAGCAGATCGGAGCGTAACCCTAATCCGGAAACAACGGAACCGACCTCAGAAGCTCGAAACCAAGAAGATCGAAAGGAAAGCAAAAGACACAGAACCACAGACAAGAGGGAGAAAGAGTACCTGAAGATTCTTGGATTTACGCAAGTCGAGAATCTTCCGGAAGAAATCTCTCATCTGACCGAAGGCGAAGAGGAGGCCATAGCTGAACAGAGTTGTGAGTGCCGTCAGGTACGGTAGTCTCACCATCCTCAACGCCGATGACAGGAACCCTAAGCTTCACGTTGGTTCTATAGAGAGAAGAGGACGCTAATATAAGGTGAGCAGGGGAGAGAGGGAAGCAGCAGGAAGGGAAGGGGTTGTAGCATTTAATAGGGTGAGAATGATTTGGTTTTGTAGAGAGAGACTAGAGAGAGAAGCAGAGAATTGAAAAGTTGAATGGGAGAAGAGGCCGGGAGGAATCTGGACGCGGTGCGCTGACCGGAGAAGCGATTTGGATCATACAGTCGTCGTCGTCTTCTAAAAATCGGGTGGAAATGGAAGTGAAAGAAGCCCGGGGGCTTTTACTTCTTTTGACCTATTATTTATTTATTTATATATGTAACACCTAAATTTTTTTTTTTTACATTTATACCATTCAATTTTTTTATATAACATTAAAATTATTATTATGCAATATATATATCACATTAAAGTTTAAGCAGATAGATAGGGGTGTCAAAAATTGATCCGACATGCTAAAATCATTAGAAAAATTCGGGATGGCTTGAAATTTTTTGGTATCGGGTTTGTATTAGAGAATTCAACTTGTTTATTATTTGGGTCAGATTCGAGTTTAACCCGAAAACTCAAACATGACACGAAGCATAAAAAGTTTAGGTCGAGATCGGATTAATAGGTCAAGCTTCAGTTCGGGTCGTTTGGGTCTTAGTTTTGCATGTTTATTATTCGGAACGAGTCATTTTTTGGTCAGATCCAAACCCTACTTGCTGGCCCGAATTGACACCCCCATAGATAGATGCATAAATACATAAGAATTAAGAATTGAGCGGTACAAGATAAATATTAAAAAAAAAAGAGGCAATAATATACGGACCATCTGAATAAAACCCCGACCCTAATTTTTCATTTTTATCAAATTCTCAATAGCACGCATAAATACATCATTTTAGTGATTAAAAAAATCATCTAGTTGGTTAAATTGTAAATGTTTTGGGTGGTTTGTATGCAATTTTCTCTAGAAAAATTACATACAAATTTTCATAAAATTTATATATCTAATAAATAAAATTTAATATTTACAGATATGACAAAAGTGTCCTCATTCATAAACCTATACATGAAATTGTATATTTCATATTTAAAAATAAATAATAGTGATATTTTTTATGTAAAATTAAAATTTGATTAAGAGATTTCATCTTTTTGAATATTTTGAATATGTCTTTAAATCATGAGTTTGTGACGTGAAATTTGATATAAAATTTGTTAATATATTTTTTATTATTTTTAATCAACCGATCAAAATAAAAATAATAAAAAAAGAAATATTGATATTGGAACTAGTTGAATTATTTATAAACAATATTGATTCATTAGCTCATCGATTTAACGTAGCCTCTACCCACATTGGTGCAAAATGATTTAGTTTATGACATGTTGTAGAAGTTATCAAATACTTTAATATGTTGTATTGCATATTTAGACATAGGTTGCTTGTTTAGTTGGCTCGGCCTATGGAGTTTTGTACGAGTGAAGACGGACTCATTCGTAGGCTTTATTGGATGTTTCTCTGCGACAGGCACGCCAGCCTTCGTTGTTATTAGCAGGTCGTCACATTGGACTCGGTCGGGTGAGCTCATTAAACATATGAATGTTGATGTAAATATGAAAGTTTATTTGTACATACATGAGAATTATATTGCACACATTCTAAGACTAAGTCAATGAGAAAAATATATATAGATTTTTTTATCAAATTTAAAATAGAGAATCCACATTCTATATTTATTTCCCACCACTTTTGACCTTATATCATCCCTCTAAGTCTAAGAACCCATCCCTTCTCTTATCATAATGTAATAAGAAAATAGATTGGTCAATGATTTCATGTTCTTAATGAAGTCCACAAAAAGTCCAATAATTTTAACAATAGTGTGGAAAAGTTTTCCTATGTATTAAATCTAATTAATTATTTTTTGACTTATTAATGCCATCATTTGATTTATATTCGCACACCATAATGGGAAAATTACTGTTTGATTAAGATTAATTGCATAATTTTTCAAAGTCTCAATATCTAAAACAAATTATAATATTGGCATTAATTGATTTTGATTGAAAAAACTTTTATAAATTATTAAATTATAAATATATTTAATCTCAAAATAAATTTAGTTATTCATCTATAAATTTATTTTACTTTCAATAGTTTTTTTATAAATTTAATATAAATTAAGATTTTTACATACAAACAACTAAAATTTTATGTCTTTTCATATCAAACATCTTGATGCGTGATAGAAGCTCTGCAGCGAAGTAATAAATTAGTAAACAAGATTAAGTATAAACTCGAGCTCAAGCTTGTGGGTCGATAAGCTCAACTCGTGAATCAAGCCGGCTGAGCTCATTTATACCTATTTATCCCATCAAAACATAACAATAAAAGATTTATTACATTTTAAATAAGAATTGTATGGCATGCATGTAAACCGCCCTTAGTTTCAATATATTATAATTTGTTTTATCATCGTTTACCACCGTTCATAAATATCATGACCCAATGATTTACTTCAATTATTTTGGTATAATTAAAAAAGGCATATTTACATACATACCACCCCCTTTCTGTACATTTAAATATCTAATATCTAAATTTACTTTTTTACATTTATAACATCCAAAATCATTTATATCACAACAAAAATATCACTTTTTTATAACAAAATGTGGAATTCAACATTAATGTGGTATATACGTAAAAATTAAAATTTGGGTGTTACTTATATAAATAGTTCGTAATTGAATGACACGTATGCAAATCTTTCTATATAATAAAAATCTAATATATCTCGGAGTTTGAAAGATTTATTACCTAATGAACAGTTGGCCTGTTATTGTATTTAATAAGCCTATGAAAGACAATAAATGCTATCACCTAATTGGAAAGGGAGTTAATGTTGAAATTCTCAAGCCTTTAAAATTGGTTGGCATATTATGTTGGAATAGGTCAATCTTACCAAGAAAAACATATCACAAAAGGGTAAATATTAAAAAATTAACTATGTAATGGTTGATGTACAACTGTATTTCAATAATGATAGTAGTATCGGGTCAAAAAGGCCACAATTAATTGCAATTTAGATAGCGTGAATGTTGCAGACAATGACTGTAACGCCAACCTTTTGTAGAGTTTGTATTTAAAAGTCATAATAGTCATTGGTCATGTAAGCCATAGGAGGTAGGTTCAAAAGCATCGGTTTGACACAAAGACCGTAGTTTGGAGATGTGACAGTGTTCGTAGGGTGCAAAAGCTGGAGTTGGAATGAGTCACGCAAACCGTAGTTGGTCACATAGGTCGTAGCAAAGAGTTGCAATAACATTCGTAGGCAGCATAAACCAAAATTGGAAGCTGCATAAGCTATTAGATTCAAGGTGCGCCGTTTTCGAGACGTGTCATTGCACTATATGCAACGATATGTGACATAATGCAGCCATAAAACATCCAAGAGTCAGAAAAATACTAACGTGCTTTGTATGTAAACATGAAAGTTTAGGCGTGAGATATGTAAATACGTGCTGAGGCAATTACGTACTAAGCATTCAAAATATTGATATTTACAAAACAAGCGCCCCGTTTATCCAATTTTTAAATTCACACTAAAATATTAAAATTTATGATAAAACCTCAACCCATATTTTTCATTATTATCAAATTCTCAATGGTTTGATCGTAAGCTTAATGTTTGATTTGTAAATATGAATGTTTCTGGCGTATGCTGATATCCCAACTTTCTTTCTTTTCCCAATCAGATTTATCATTTATAACCTTAGATGGGAAGAAATATTCCTCAAAATCAGCATTCTTCAATCATACAGCAGCAACATAATGCCGCTGGACTGCATTCAGAAAATACAGCGAATGAAGTGATTATATATATCATAACAAGTTTAGAGACATATAAACACTACTAGAATATACGTTTACTATTATTATTATTATTATTTGTTAAAATAAATAAAATAATAAAATACAAATGCAAAAGGACATAGAATAAATACAACCGATGGCAAATTACTGTATAAATTATGTGAATATTTAGATTTGTGATATCATTATGCTTGACTGGTAAAAGGCCCGCAATTTAGAATTTGGGGTAATATTACATTTGAGCCCAATTTCATTCATCATATTGCATGAATCTGATTATCTTTCTTTTTCTTATTATTATTTTGCAGTAATAAAATCAAGGAGAAAGTTTGGATGACTCTAGCCCCACCAAAATCTAATAAAAATCCCATGTAATCATGCATAGTATGCAAACTTTTCAATTGAATCTTCAAACAATCATATACATTATGGAAGCTTAATCCCCCAAAATTTAAGACATTTTTTTCTGCCCACACTCATTTGAGATTACAGTTCTGCCACTAATGATCTGACTTCAACTTTAACAGTCTAATTCTTGGGTGATGGAGAAAGCTTTAACAGTAAATACAAGAGAAATGAGAATGATAAACTGGATTAATGGTAAGAATAAGAAATAATTATATTGAAGCTAAAAGACAAATAACATCTACTGAATAGAAAATAATATGAATTATATTTTAGTGTAATAAGATATGTGGTAGATATAAAACTAAACTTTTATAAATACAAAATACATTTTTTTTTAATAATAAGCAGCATTCAAACTCTTTAGAAGCTATGCTTATTTTTGTTTTTATTTCCTCTCTTAGAAACTTTTGATTCTCACTTGAAATTTTAAAATTTTAAATAAGAGTATTTGTATAGACTTGAAACTAATTCACCCCACATTAATCACCGGCTAAAATAATGTCAACATTACGTTCTTCATTCACCAAATCTATCATACACAAATGTAGGATATGTATTGTTTAATATTTGAACATTTAACAAATTTACTTTGCAAAGAAGTTTATTTTTCAATAACCTCTATTAATCTTGATTTGCAACTACAAAAATGTTTTGTAACTTTACAAAAACTTTTAGTTCGAGTTGATAAAGAAGCTTGTTGATCATTCCTAGGAGATCACATACTTTAACTTCGCCTTCTTTTTGGCATTGCATTCTTTTATATAACACAAAAGGGTGCCAATGTACTTGCTTCTATTATGATTTACAAGATGATTTATAGATGCAAGTGTTGATTTGTTGCATATATATATATATATATATATATATATGGTATACTTCAAAACATATACATTTAAGGTTTCAAAGTACAATTTATTTAACAAATTTCTTAACCAAATAATACAACAAGCACATGAAATTGCAATGCGAGATTCGACTTCACAAGTTGAGAGTA